TAAATTGTGATGTTCATGCTGTGTAGTTGACTCTTCAGGGTTTCCTTGGGCCCTGGGGGCTTTGGCAGCTTCTCAGGTGAGTACCCAAGACAGTATTGGCTTGTGCTTATTCTTTAACTTTTAGTCATTGTTTTTGTTCTGTCACCCTTTCAAGATACCAAGCTCAAACCAGTAGAGAAAAATTATTTATGAACCAAGTGGTTTGGACAGAGCATGGCACCTGCAGTTCCTGGGTAACTACGAACACTGTGGGAAGAGGTCTCGTGTGGCTTCCATGAGTGGTAGACTGCTGGGATGGTGGACTGTATCAGTTTGGATCTCATTGTTGGGCTCATCACCCAGCTTTCTCATTATCGATCTGAAAGTGTTATGTTAAATTTCATTTTCCTCATGGTCAGTACTCGGTAGGAACTTACAAGTTCGGGGGAGGAAGTCCACAAAGATAAAGTGACAGTCACATCAAGGAATGCCTGCGAATGTGACTTCATGACTTGTGATACTGGCTCTCATCACCTTCCACTGTTTCCCCCCACCCAATAATCTTCATAAATGATTTTTCTCTGTAAAGACCTATCACCCCATTTACCCCCACCATATTTATGCCATCGCTTATTTACTTTAGTATATCATCAATATTTATTTTACTCATCAATATTTATTTTACACTTCGGGTATAAGCTACTGCTGCATTAGTTTGTGGCTCATTGTTCCAGCTTTGGCAATTGAGGACTCTTGGATTGATTCCTTGTCTCTGGCTCATTTGTATTTTCCCTGCCCAAGTCATTTCTCCAAAGCACCGGAGTTGTTGATTGGCTGCTTTGTTTATAGGAATGGTATTGGAGACGGAGATCTGGGTGCTTGCTGTGTGCATTGCCACGTGGTGCTATGTACACTGAGTCACACACACACTTGTGATTATTTCTGCATCTGTACACCTGTATGTATAGTAAGGAATACATGACTTCTTACTGTTGTCTCTTACTGCAGCTCAGGGTCACAGGATTCATTCTCGGGTCTGCAGAACTGTCTGCCTGAATCTTTGCAGTGCCATGGCTATTAGCAGAAATTGGCACTTTTGACAAGGTTGGATAGTCACCTCTATTACTGTGCTGAATGAGCTGGCTTTTGTATGGTTTTGGAGGGGATTGTTTAGAGACAGAATCTGTGTCATTCAAACTGGCTTTGAACTCACTGTGTAGCACAGGCTGGCCTCAGATTCCCAGTGGTCCTCCGCCTCAGCCTCCCAAATGCTAGGATGACAGTTGTGTGCAATGATGCCCAGTTGACGAGCAGGTTTTAATAAAGAATCTTTATATGAGTTTGAGGCCAGCCTAGGCAGTTTATCAAGACCGCCTTTCAGGAAAGGGCTGGTGGAGTACTGCAAAAAGAAGTGTTCCTTGAGTCTTATAGCTGACAGTCTATTAAATGCATTTCCAAGCCCCTGCCCCTCAAAACAACAAAAACTGATAGGATAGCTTGTTGCTTTGCCTCCCATACAAGAGACCCATAATAGCAATCCTGGTAATGTTAGTGCTAATATTAATGTTACAATCACTGAAAAGACCTGAAGAGTGTTAAATTCACCTTTCCAGTGTTGTGAATCTCCCTGGGTTCAGGGCTGGGTCTTGCGGCCACAAGGCACTGTGCTGTCCCTCTCCCCCATTAGGCCAGGTTTTCTGACAGCCTGTGTGGTAGACCATCAGCTCTCTGGGCATTTTGATTGTCTGGGTTTGTGCTTTAGTTCCAGGGATAGCACAGTTCTTCTGAAAGGGGTTAGATAGTAAATATTCAGCTTTGTGAGCCAAAAATGATCCACATACATGTGAGTGTGACACCATTTTTAAATGTAAAAGCTTTTTAACTTGAGGAATGTACAAAAATATCTGCTTGCAGCTTGCTTCTCCCTGCTGTAGTGGCTTCCTCCGGAACGGCTTGTGGAGACAGTGTAGAAAATCCTTGGCTCACTTGTCTCTCCTGTTTTTGGTATTTTAAGTGTGTTACTCATTTTCTTTAGGCATAAAATGTTGCAGCTGAAGCCTGATGATACATTTTCCTGAAGTTACTTGATAGTTTCGCCTAGATACTCTTGAGGATTTTTGTTTTGTTTTGCATTTTTTAAAAATCTTTATGATGATGATGATGTTTATTGGTATGTTTTAGGTATACATGATGATCACATTCATCATAGGGGATTTGTGCTTACGTGATACATCTTTTCCCATTTCTCTTCCCATCCCTTCAACCTGTTTTCCACTCCTTATTTACAAAAGCTTTTTTTTTTCCATTTCTTTGCCATCTATGCATGGGCCACTCTTGGTTGATATGTTCAAGTATATGTTGGTGATTTTTCAATATGTGGTGTCAGGTATATAGAGTCTTTTCTTGAATTATGGTTTTTAATACTATGTTTTATTTCCTTGCATTAGGTTTTGGTTTTTTTTTTTTTTTTTTGTCTTTTTGAGACAGGGTCTTGTTATGTAGTTCACACTGACCTTGAGCTCACTTTGTAGCCCAGGCTGGTCTCAAACTCACAAGGATCCTCCTGCTTCAGCCTCCCTCCCGAGTGCTGGGATTATAGGCATGAGCCAACATGCCCAGCTTGCATTAGTTTTTATTTACATGAACTCATTACTCTTTTTAGAAAAAAAAAATCTTAATTTTAGGCAGGCTTTTGTGCCACTAAGCTAAATCCCTAACAAAGGAAATTGCTGTGCAACTTTTTAAAAAATATATCATCATGAATTATCATTTATTTTGTTTTGGTTTGCTTTATTGGTACACGGGATCACATGACCTTACATTTGCTAGGCAAGTGCTCATGCCACTGAGCAAAATCCCCAGCCCCTTTCGTTCAGTATTTGTCACCTGTCACTTTGTCTTGGGTCCTCCATTTTTAAGCCAGGGTCTCGGAATACAGCCAGGCAGACTGTGCACTGAGACTGTTCTACGCTGACCTCCATGCTAGTGTTACAGGCACACACTGCCACACCAGCTTCAGATGCTTGTTCTTGTTTCTTTTGAATTGTTATTATCGGTTCTTTTGGAACCTCATTTCTAAGTTTCCTAGTTCTGATTTAGGCTATTCTTTCATATCTTGGATGATGGATTTTAACTCACTTAGCAAGAGGGCAGAGTTTGATTTGCTTTCTGGGCAAAGTGTCTTAGTGGCATGTATTCATTGTCTGGAGTTGTTTTGTTCTTTATCTGAAATTGTGCATTGTTTGAAGGAAGTGTGATTCAGAAAGTTTTTCTGATTTCTCATAATTCTTTAAAGTGCTGGATTCCATCCCCCTTTTTGTGGTGCTGAGATCAAACCCAGGGGCTTGCTCCTGTGAAGGGTGGTGCTCTGCCATACCAGTGCTGGGCTCCTAGTGGGCACTGCCACCCTCTTCTACTTTCATGTTTGCATGGTACTTGCTTTTGAATATAGTACCAAGCAGTTTAACAACAAAAATAAAACGTTATCAAAAGAAAAGCAGAGCCATCCTATTGAAATTAAACTCTACTGTCCAGAGCCGCTTCCGTCCCGCGGAATGGAGCACACGAACACTCAGCCTCTGCAAGCACCTTTATTGACTGGGCAGCAACCTCAATACATGTCCGTCCTCGACGGCTTCTTCCGTGTTGTGCGTCGGGCACTTCCTATACTTGGGCTTATATAGCTAATGTTATCCAATCATGGGATTACACGTGGGGACAGGCGATTGGGTGGCAACAAGGAAGCAATCAATCATTACCATATATGGCGGGGACAGTAAGCCAAGCAAGAACCAGGAAGCAGGATGTGTGTGCCATCTTGGGCACACGATGGGCGGGGGAGCAGCGGAGGCGGCAGGCGGGTGCCATCTTATGAATATGCTCTCATGAATAACATGGCAGGCTCCCAACACTCTACCTCCAGTGATTTGCCCAGGAGCTCAACAGGTGTCAGATACCAGTTTATCTCAGATTTGGAGAATACTGGGGTACCCTTATGAATTTGCTGACTTGAAGATGCTCATATACCTGAATGTATGTTTGGAAGCCAGTGTACTTCCTTGGGGATGGCAGTTCTTTGAGTTAAGGAAAAGAAACGAGAGCAGACCCACATGTTTACTGACCATGATGTTTACTGACATTTGGTGGTGAATATTTGGGTTTGCTTTATGAGTGCCACCGTGAATTTGACTGACAGGTGAATTTGAGATGTGGTTGACAAGCCTGTCAGATTTCACAAAAACAACTTTGTGTCTTTCAAGAAAAGGCAAGTACATGGATATAGTAAAGGAAGTCAGATTCCATGGTAGTAGAATTCATCATGCACAGAATATTGGAGGTTGTGCCAAGTAAAACTTGCCTCTAACTTCTTATTTATCTTTGAGACGGGGGTCTCTGTAGTTCACACTGGCCGTGAACTCACAGGGATCCCCCCTGCCTCAGCCTTTAGAATGCTGGGATTCCAGGCTTGTGCCACCACACCCCACTTAAGCCATGTTTGTTTTTCGGGGTTTTTTTGTTTTTGCTTTTTGGTACCAGGGATCAAACTCAGGACCTCGCACTTACCAGGCAGGTGCTTGTGTCACTGAGGTAAAAATCCCTAGCTGAGCCACGTTTTTATATGACTAGCTTTATAAATTATAAACACAGATCCTGGGTTGGAAGAGGCCATCCATTTAAGGTATGTCTGCCTTGAAACATTTAGTTACCTTCATTAGAGATCGGTTTCAACAGTTTGGCTTTTTGCAGTACTGGGGAAGGAACTCAGGGCCTTGCACTCCACTTCTGAGCTACATCCTCAGCCCTTAACAGGAGTTTTTAAATCCCTGTTCTAGCAGGAAGCTGGAAGCCAGGCACACTTGGTGAGGGACCGGAGGGGCTGCTTCATACAGGAACACGTCGGCATACTAAATGGACTCCCATGTCTGTGGACAGTAAATGCTTCCTCCTAAGAGTTGAAGCAGGCCCAGGGCCCAAGGTCAGGAAAAGGAGCAAATGAGTGACTGTGCCATCCTCTCCCACAGTGCCTTCCATGGGAAACGGTACGAGCAGACTCTACAGCGCTCTTGCCAAGACCCTGAACAGTAGCGCCGCTTCTCAGCACCCAGAGTACTTGGTGTCACCTGACCCAGAACATCTGGAGCCCATTGATCCTAAAGAGCTTCTCGAGGAATGCAGGGCAGTCCTGCACACTCGGCCTCCCCGCTTCCAGAGGGACTTTGTGGATCTCAGGGCAGATTGCCCCAGCAGCCATCCATCCATTCGGGTCATGCAGTGGAACATTCTCGCCCAAGGTAGGCTAGATGCTTCTGCGCCTGCGCAATGAGCTTTACTGTGACAACCTTCCGCCTTCTGCCGCAGTGCTGTGCTCTGGGGAGAGTGGGGCAGGTGGAGGTATGGGCGCTGCCATGACTGGGTTATTAGGCAGCACAGTGGCCCCACCTCAGACTTTCCATTGCCTCCAACTTTCAGTGTGAAGCACTAAGGTAGCACTTGCAGGATAACAGCTTCTGCAGGGAAGGGCACCTGTGTGTAGGTCTCATCTATGTAACTTGAGACCAGAAAGATACTGCTTCAGTTCAATGAAATACAGTGATAACTTGGTTCACCAACAGTTGGGTTCCCAAACAAAGGCATTTGGCATAATTTTTTGTCTGCAAACTCTGCATCGGCAAACATGACTGGCCATCTTCCTTGCACAAACATGGCCATCTTTTCCAGAACCGGGAAGCAAACTAAGTTCATGGGCCAAGGCACCAGTGTATTTTGTTGTAACAGCAAGGTCTCCTTTGCTGTGTCTGCCACATTAAAAACCAGATGCATCAGTCAACCTTCAGTACTGTTACCTTCTGTGTAGCAGCTGAAATTTAGGGAACCAGAGGCCTATTTATGTATGTGTTTATTTCTTGGGAAAGAAGGGAATACTCAACTACCAGTCTCCCAGGCTGGCTTAGAAGTGTCATGGATCCTCCTGCCTCAGCCTCCCAAGTGTTGAGATTACAGGCATGTGCCACCACACCCAGCCCAAGTATTCATTCTTTAGTAGTAAAGGCTAATAAAAAATAATTCGTTAAAATCTCATTCATCTGAGTTGTGCCACTTAACTGTCCATGTTAAAACTAGTATGTAGAGCTGTTACTTTTGTGTCTCCTGATGGAGTTTAGATCCCTAGGGCTGCAGTGAGCAGTTTCCATACCACGGCTTATTTTCAGGACGGTAGCTGTATGAGATAGTTTTAACACATAAGACCTCAGTCACTTGCAACAGGTTATTTCTTTCAAGTGGGTAAGCAGTGTAGACGGAAGAGCCACCTCAGCCTGTGGAGCCGAGGGGATGTCCTGAGGGCCTGTCCGAGGCCCGAGCCTGAGGCAGCTGCCCGGTACTTTGAGGTCAGATTCTAAAGTAGCTGACGGGGCCGGCTTTTTCCTTTTCAGCACTTGGAGAAGGCAAAGACAACTTCGTGCAGTGCCCTGTGGAAGCACTCAGGTGGGAAGAACGGAAATGCCTCATCCTGGAAGAAATCCTGGCCTACCAGCCCGACATCCTGTGCCTACAGGAAGTGGACCACTACTTCGACACTTTCCAGCCGCTGCTCGGTAGGCTGGGCTACCAGGGCACCTTCTTCCCCAAGCCCTGGTCACCATGTCTAGATGTGGAGCACAACAATGGGCCGGACGGCTGCGCCTTGTTTTTCCTCCAAAACCGATTCAAGCTGGTCAACAGTGCCAACATTCGGCTGACGGCCATGACGCTGAAAACCAACCAGGTGGCCATCGCCCAGACTCTGGAGTGCAAGGAATCCGGGCGCCAGTTCTGCATTGCCGTCACCCACTTGAAAGCGCGCACCGGCTGGGAGCGGTTTCGATCTGCCCAGGGCTGTGACCTTCTCCAGAACCTGCAGAGCATCACGCAGGGAGCCAAGATTCCTCTCATTGTCTGCGGAGATTTCAACGCAGAGCCCACTGAAGAGGTCTACAGACACTTTGCCTCCTCCAGCCTCAACCTGAACAGTGCCTACAAGCTGCTGAGTGCGGACGGGCAGTCGGAGCCGCCCTACACCACCTGGAAGATCCGGACCTCGGGGGAGTGCAGGCACACCCTGGACTACATATGGTACTCCCAGCACGCGCTCAGTGTGCGCTCAGCGCTGGACCTGCTCACTGAGGAACAGATCGGGCCCAACCGGCTCCCGTCCTTCAATTACCCTTCAGATCATCTCTCTCTGGTGTGTGACTTCAGCTTTAATGAGGAACCTGCTAAACTTTTATAAAAGTGTCTGTGTGTTTTTAATCACAAGAGTCTTAACCCAGGGAGGTTTCAGGCAACTGAAAGATGGGATAAGTAGTTGCCCAAGGAGAGTCTAGGCTTTATCACTTCACTTTCCATGTTTCCAGCATGCCCTTAGACAAGGCTCCTGATTCATAAACCTTTTCCATGAAAACCTGCCATGAGGGGGCTGGGGATTTAGCTCAGCGGCATAAGCGCCTGCCTTGCAAGCAGGCAGCCGTGAGTTCGATCCCTGGTACCGGTAAAAAGGAAAAAGACAAAAAAAAAAAAAAAAAAGAAAACCTGCCATGAGGTGGTATTCCCGCTCCACTTGGGGCTGTGCTGTTTTCTTTCTCTTTACATTTTCAGTCATTTACGGGCATTCAGTTAGGGTTATTTTGAAGCTTTTTCCTGTTTGAGGCTGCTGACTTACTGGATGGAGTCCTCTGTAATTAACATAAATATGTGGGGACAGTTTCTCTAGACAGCATTTCAAGTTATTTATTTGTAGGTTTGTAAATGTCAATAGGATATGCATGGCAGTATTTATTTTTTTTATACTAAACTTTATGTAAAGTTAAGTAAATTATAGCATTGTGAACATTTTAGGACCATGAAAAAAAACACAAGTTATAGAAAGGGTAACATTTCTCACCTGGTGTTCTAGCGCATGTGTGTAAGGAACTGCTCAGCCTGGAGGGCTTTGTTAGTCCATGTAACATCAGGTGTATGACAGTCTTCATGAAGAACCTGGCAGCACCTCCGTGTCCCTGTGATTGTTTCCTGAAGGATTCCAGTTAGTGTCCAATTAAAAGAGTATTTGCTTTACTTAATCAGTGCTTTGTATTTGTACTCTGACCAGAACATGGTTAGTGCTCATGTGAGGGCCACTTGGTGTCACCAGGACATGCAGTGGCCCATGGTTTTTACAGTAGGTTATTTAGGAGTTTTTATGTGGCAGTGGCCGAGAAAGTCAGTGGGACTTTCTCAGAGATGGCAAACTTGCTAGAAAGCATGTAAATGGGCCACCATTGAAACTGTCCAGAACAACCAAATGACTGTCTCACAACTAGGGAGATGAAAAGTTACGAAGATCCCTGAGTTTCTCTTAAATAAAAGTGGTAAGAGATAAACTGATAACTATTTTAACATGGATTGTAAACATTTAAGATTAATAAATGGTCTTTTAAAAAGCTAATCTTTTACTATCTTGTCTTTTGGGTCCAGAGGTCTAACCCAACCTAGACCCATATTGGGTTATGAACACTACTCTGGGAGCTACACCATCTGTGCGCACATGCCCTCCACCTTCCACTGGACAGTGTGCACTGGCCCCTTTGCCGGGCTCCTGGTGGCTCAGCGCCAGGTTCACATCCCCAGATGACGCACGGTTTCCAGTAATGTTTTATACCTAAACTCTAGGGCTGCCTATTAAAGAACAGCAGGAAGGAGGTACACCTCTAGCACTCATACTGGTTCAAGTCTTAATGTGACTAATGATAATCACGTTTTTGAGAATGCAGATTATAGAGTATTCAGTGGGGGGCTTGAATATCATTTACCTTCTCCAAGGTCTGCCAAGCTGAAGAGAAACGATGGCAGCCTTGAGCAGACCTAGGTGGGAGTGACCACACCTGGGCAGGCAGGATGCCACCGGGCAAAGGCCGCTGCAACCCGCAAGATTTGAGGTGAGAACACTTACTGATGCTTTTGATGCCTGCTGCTCCATTTTTAATTCTGTGAAAAAGACTTTAGGAGTCTATAAATCTTGTATTGTATTTGCATTTTTTCTTCGTAGACTGCTTTGCCTGTTCACTGTACCTGAAGGCATAATAGAATCACATTCATTCCACAGCACAAAGTATGGGTCATAAATTTTTAGTAGTATGTTCTACGCAGACTTCCCTTTACATACCTTTAATTCTGCTTATACTTTCATGTCTTACAAAGTAAAATTGTCATGGAAATGACTCTTAGAAAAGATGGGGAGAGAAGAGTTGAGACTAAAGTGGAGTTTTGCTTCCTTCAACATTTCAGTAGCTTCCATTCTACATGATGGTGGTCAGTGCTGGATTTATTTTTTAGCCTTTTGGGACAGGGTCTCACTATAGGTCTAGCTGGCCTTGAATTTACTGTGTAATCCATGCTGGGCTCAGTTTTCCTGCCTCAGCCTCTTGAGTGCTAGGATTACAAGCTTGCACCTCCATAATCAACTTGCCTTCTTTATTTAAATAAAGCATTAAAATATATACATAAGAAGAAATTGTTTTGTTTTGTTTTTTTTTTTGCTTGGCTGTAAATTTTACATGTGATCATAAACCAAGCACAGCTGCACACAATTGTTAATCCCAGCATTTTGGGAGGTTGAGGTAGGAGGATTCCAAGTTCAAATAGCCTAGGTAACTTAATGACTTGAAGACCTTGCCTTTAAATAAAGAACCTAATTTATAGGTAAAGTGACTGTGGACAGTAGCGAGACCTCAGATCCAGGACATCTTAACTGAGAAATGCTTTCCCACCACTGTGTCCCACTGCTCAGTGCAGATGGGGAGAGGCAGTATTATGCGGGGGGAAGGAGGGGGACACCAAGAGATTTGGGCCTGGGAGTTAGGGTATGAGTTTAGAGACACACAGCCTGTGAGGACAGCTGCACACAGTGACCATGAGCAGACGCTCCAGAGAAGTGATAAAAAGAGCCTGCCATGGCTCTCATGCCACAGACTCACCACCACACCCTAGGGCCTTGCTGTCCTCACAGTGCACATCACAGCTGCCACCCTGGCACTTTGAAACATCTGTGAAATGCATAAAGATATGTGCATGCTACTGAATGATAAAGGGGAAGGGCTTGTACTGTGTGCCCTAACAAACCATACCTGCTTTGGTCAACAAGACTAACCCTTCAATCTGAAAGGGTAGAACCAATGGTGTTAAACATTTAAGCTCAGACGAGGTAAAGGGCTGACTAAAGTGGTAAGGTTTCTTGTCTAGGCAGGCAGATGTGAAGGTGTGCTTCAGGGATTAGAAGTCATGGATCCTACTTGATTTCCAAAGTGAAAATCGGCCTTTCAATGACTGGATACCTACAGCTACAGGGCCCTGTTCCCCAGGTTTCTTTGAACAGCTCCTCTCTGAGAAAACATACGTGTAAGGTAAGGCAAGCAGACACAGCCATGCGCCACAACAGGATGAGTGGTAGGCAAAGCTTCGCTGTTTCTAAGCATCTGTTCAACTCAGACTACAGGCATCTCAACTTGTTTTGTTTTTGGCTTGGCTGCCAGGATATTTAAAAGCAAAGTACGTTAGCTGCTGATTTTGTACATTTTACAGCTTGTATTCTATATGTTAATTTCACTACTTCCTTGCCTTTCTTTTTATAAGTTGACTTTGATTTATTCTTGTAACAAAATCTCCAAAACTGTTCTAGTGATAAGGAGGAGAATTAAATTATCCTGCCATTTTAAATAGACGCAGGCCTCCAGATCTTGAAAACAGAATATAGAATAGAGCCAGGTGCAATGGTACACCTGTAATTCAGCACTCAGGAAGCTGAGGCAGGAAGATAGCTACAAGTCGAGGCCAGGCTGAACTGTGTAACAACACACTGTCTCAAAAAGACAACAAAGACAAAATAGTCCCTAATACTAAGAAATCAATCTAAAAAACAGACTAAAGGTTGCACGCAGGGGATATGGCTGACAGTGGTCTCTGGTTTCCGTAAATCTGAAGAGAACATCCAGTAAACATTGCAACATTTCAAAATTCACTTGGTGAGAAAGGATCATTACATGGTTAGACTAGGTGACTCCGACACTCACCTCCTCCCTGGTGCTTGGCCTTTCTAGTGGGAAGGCTGAATTGGGCCCAGGACTAACCTGACACCAGAGAAGTTTGGTTCTACTTGGTAAGTCAGTGATGGTGAACACACTGGAGACCAAAGTGCCCAAACTTGCAACCCCAAACCCACTTTCTCAGTGCACAGCACCAGCACAGGCCCCTCGTGTACATGACCCATGGCTCAGCTGCGTGCAGATTCACCACCACCGCCAAAGGTGACCATGGAGTAGGCCGAACTGTAGGTTCTTCTCTGAAGTTTAATTATTTGAACTTCAAAAACTGCTTTACTGTTGCTATTGCCCAAAAGTATTTTATAGCTACGTGGGTGGTGCATATTTGTAATCTGGGCTTGGGAGGTAGAAGGATCAAAGTTTGAGGCCAACCTGAACAATTTATCAAGACCCATTTTGGGTACCTTTTTTTGGAACTATTTGTGTTGCTTTTTGAAGCTCTCAACAAACGTGAATTTCGTAAGTCACATCTCATTTTGTGCCAAATATGGCTTCTAGCTTGAGTCACATCATATTACCCTTGAGCAACTTAACTATTTCTAAAAATCAAAATCTTTTAACAGGAAACTAGTCTCTATTAAATACACTTCAAAACCAGATTTGAGATACATTTCTGAAGTATTTTCAACAACAGTAGCATCCTTGGTGTTAATAGCGTCCCAAAGTAATTTTCTTCAAGGGGCAAGGTCCTTTTAACATGGCGGACGGTTTCATAACTTTAAAGATCCCTCCTAAACAGATGTGAAGTATGACAAATTAATACTGAGGCAGGAGGATCACAAGTTTAAGGCAATTTAATGAGATCCTGACTCCGAGTAAAAAAGGTCTGCCGCAATTTCTAATGCTGAAATCTGGAAGCGGCCTGTGTATCCTACAGCCAAAGAGCTGCAGGAAATGTGGTATTTACACAAGCGGGACACTGCTCTGCCATCAGGATAAACCTGAGCCATCTGGAGGATGGATGCATCTGGAAACCGTGTTAAGTCAGTCAGACACAGCTGCTTAAATATCACACAGCTTCTCGTACATAGAAACCCAAAGTATAAAGAGCAAAAGACAATGATAGTAGGGAGATCTTTTTCAAGTGGAAGGGGATAAGAGATGGAGGAGAAAGAGATGAAAAAGGAATTGGGATGTACCAACTCTACAAGGGGAATGAAATCACACACTACAAATGACATTCTAATAAAAAAAAACTAAAAGTTAAAAAGGGACTGGGGATGTATGTTAGTGACAGCACACCTGGATCTATCTGATCCCTAGTAAAAAATTGAACAAATACATCCACATGCAAAACGTGGGTTTTTAATAGTTATTTTCATTTGAGACAGGGTCTTGCCATCTAGTATAGGCTGGCATAGGACTCACTTACTACATAGTCCAGGCTGGCCTTAACTTGAGGCAGTCTTCCTGCCTCAGCCTCCCCAGTGCTGAGATAACAGGATATGCCACCAAACGTGGCTGTAAGCTATTTTTATACTTACTGTATTTCAAACTTCCCCACTGAACGTTGTAGAAATGTTCTACAAGTCCCTAAATCCTAGCTTGCCTTGTAGCTGGCATGGCAGTTTTCCACACTTCACATAGTACAGTTGCCTAGAGATACTTTTAAATATTGGTGCCTGGCTTCTGTTCCCAAACACTGTAATTTCACTGGTATAGAGCATGACCTCAGCAACACAACTGTTACGTTTCCGAGGTGATTGTAGTAAGTGGAAGTTACCACTATGCAGGTGGGCTGGAGCCCCAAACTCAATATACATGCAGATTACATAACCTAACCTGTGGACAGTGATAGTACCCTCTAAATGGATGGCATTTTCTCAAAGGAATACTGCCTCCAGAGGGTGAGCTTAAAACTGTCAGAAAACAAGTTTTGGCAGCAGCTGCTGTTGATTGGTTGTTGACATTTTTTGAGACAAGATCTTGCTATTTGGTTCAGGCTAGCCTCGAACACATTTATGTAGCCCTCCTTGGCCTCCAATTCAAAGCAATCTTCCTGCCTCAGCCTCCCTAATGCTGGCATTACAGGCCCTTGACACCACGCCCAGCTAGTTTTGTGGTTTTTGGTGGGCAGAATTTTGCATTAATACTGTTTCACCTGAACTAAGGTCTCACTTCGGAAGCTGTAATAAATGTTAGTCCTGAAGCAAGAGCAGGTCTACTGAGTTGTAGTGTGCACACAAAGGTCGTTACAGATACTCAGCTGTCTCCTTGTTGTGCTTGGGTTCTTCAAAGGTTTGGAGGCCGCTGGTGCTTTGCCAAGAGTGAACGCTCTCCCCTGGGCAAGAAGTTCCTAGGTAGGGCATGTGCAGGTCCGAATCTTGAGGGATAGCAACTCTTCACAGGCTGAAGCACAGAGGAGTCACAACCAGAGATCATGCAGCAGTGCAGCTAAGAGCTATTGAGTACCATTATCTTCACTACCCCCAAAACAGTGTGCTTTTAGAAGCCTCACAAAGTGGGGCAGGAGACTAAAAGTAAAGAGACCACAGGGTGGTAAACGACCCCAAGACCACGATTTTGTCCGTGGGAAGTTTTCTGACTACCAGTTACAGATGGCTTGTTCTACCCAGGTGTGGGCAGAGCCCAGCCTGCTCCAACTGGGCCTTCCCGCCTCCTCTCATGAACCTGCCCCTCAGCCGTCCCCATGTCTGGACGGCTCTGTGCTTCGCCCTTCGGATTACACCCTGCCACTGCTTCCGGTGGATCGGGAAGCACCGTCTTGCCTGGCCTGTTCCTTAGACTACACCTGGCTTCTGCGGCTCCTTCCTCTTCTTCTTGCGGTTTCTGTTCGCACTTTACTCTCTCCAGTCTTCAGCCTCAGAACTGACAGTAGATCATTCTTCACTGAGTGGATTCCAAGTGTAGTTCAGAAATTTTTATTTATTTTGGTTTTTGAGACAGGATCTTCCAGGGTAGCACAGGATAGCCTCACACCCTTTTGAGTGATCCTCCTTTTTGTTGTTACTGTTTTGGAGTACAGGGTAAATGGACCATTCAGGATGTCCATGGCCTAAAGGTACTTAAAAGACTTGGGGTAGGGCTAGGGATTTAGCTCAGCGGCATAAGCGCCTGCTTTGCAACTGCACAGTCATGAGTTTGACTTGGGGTGACATAAGCCAAGTTGAAAGACTCTACAGGGGAGGCAGTAGAGACTCCTGTTAGCAAGATGCCACTGAACTTAGGCAGCTGCAGTGCCGAATGGTGGCATCTACATTTTCCACAGCTCTCAGCTGCTCTCACCAGTGTCAGAGCGACCAGGGAGACAGCAATGCGAATAGGCACAATGGGCAGGTTTTTCTCTAGTATGTTGGACACAGAAACCAAATATAGGTCACACCGATGTAAGTCTGCAACAACTAGAATTAAAAGCCATAGTTTAGGAGAAGTGACATACCACCACCACCATTCTGGTCAGTATATTGTTTTTGTTTCAAGACAAGGTCTCAAATTGGCCTAGAATTCACATAGTTCAAAGTTCAAGTAGCCTCAAACTCAGTGATCCTACTGCTTAGGCCTCTCTTCTGCTGGGATTAAAGATGTGAGCCATTACACTCAGTACACTATATATATGTCTAAGTCTGTTTCTTTAGAATTCAGGCTGTTATAGTGAGACAAAGAATTTTAGGTAGAGTGATACAGCACAGGAGGAAAGGAGTCAAGTAGTGTCCTCAGCTGAGCTCTGCAGCATGACTTATGAGGTCCTTAGCAACTGATTTTTGTCCTTTTTTTTGAGACAAGGTCTCACTATGCAGTTCAGACTGCACTTGAGCTCACTTTGTAGCCCCGGCTGGTCTCAAACTTGCAATGATCCTCCTGCCTCAGCCTCCCAAGTGCTGGGAGATGTACACCACCACGCCTGGTGACTCTTAGTAATTGTTAACAAAATCTGTCTGATCTGGTCATCTATCTTTGTCCTAAAATAGCACTATAAAAGACACGACTAAACAAAAAAGAAGGGAATACAATTAAATACCAATACAATTAAAGAAGAAGAAAAAACATGTATGTTTTACTGGTTTTTGTTTGTTTTGAGACAGGTCTTGCTATGTAGTCCAAGCTGGCCTTCAACTCACTAGGTAGCCCAGTCTGGCCTCAAACTTATAGCAATCCTGCCCCAGCCTCCCAAGTGCTAGAAGCACAAGTTGTACCACCCACCACACCTGGCTATAGTATTAATTTTGAAAGCTGATTCTTAACTCCCAATTGAGATAAAAATCAACTGAGTTTTTAAACTTCTAATACAAAGTACCATCTCACGTCTGTTTACAAAAATGATTAAAAGATTAGAAAACAAGCTTCTATTAACACACACTGTCACATACAGGCACAAATTCTCTATGATGTGATCATTATTGATATCTATAATGTACCAATAAATCTGATTTTTACAAAAGGCTCTATTTCCACCTAAGAATTATCTGATCAAGTGTACAAAGCTCAACAAATACTAAATATCAGTTCTAAATTTCTTTAAAGTAGAAAAACATCAAAGGTAGTAAGACCAAGTTTTATAATTAGGTAATTCATGTAATCTGGTATCTCATTTTTTTTAAATCTGTAAAATGGCTAGAGTACTGTTCTTAGAATGTCTGAAAGCAAATAGCCTTATTTGAAAGTGTTTTTACATAAAGTTTTGTAAGTCTGCTTAACTAAAATGTTAATAAATTCATTATGGTCCTTAAACTCACAGGTCATGGCAAACATTAGGAAGGAAATGGCAACAGGCGGACACCTGCCAAACACTAACAGAATTGAACAAAATACAAGAGCCTTTCTCAGCACAGCAGCTGGAAAGAGAAACAGGGTTTATGCTTCTTTTCAACTAGAACACCTTTATACCGACTTTTACTACCTTTTAAAAAAAACCACCGAAGACAAAAAACACAGGATAAAGTTCATTTCTATATTTCAGAAAACCTACTTGAATACACTTTGAAACAAGAGTACAACAAAATAGAATATACTTCAAATGTTGAATATACAAACTATTATAGTTCAAATCTGAACACTGGTACTTTCCCTCTTAAAACATCAACTAAAAAAACAGAAAAATAGGAAAGAAAAGAACTAAAAGGGGGTCGGGGAAGGGAAGGAGAGAGGGAGGAAGGATGGGGCGTCAGGTATTAAAGCTACCTGACAAAGTTCACGCTGAGCCTGCACTTGCAAGTGACAGTAGAACTGAAACTCCTGTGTCCGCAAAGATGCCAGGCTAAGTGAATGACACGGGCATGGTACAGCAAAAGGCCAGAGCCAACTGTTAATTTGTCCACAATTAAGAAACTGACAGACTTAAACTACCATATAAAATGTTACATGTAAATTCTATAACAATACTGTGCTAGGTACAAGATTTTTAAAATTTTTCTTTTAATAAAAAAGCTTTACACAAACAAGCCATTAGCTTATTTCAAGGAATAAAACCAAAAATTAGTCTAAGGCCTTTGTTTTAAATCAGCTTAAGCTATATGATATTTAAAAAAAAAAAAAAATCGCACTAGATCTTTTTTGCTATCCTCTCTGAAGCTTTTGGATCCATTCTTCAATTCACATTCTAGAATGCCTATATTAGCAGAATCTTCACATAGCACCAGTTAAGTGAGTACTGTGCGAGCACAGTAATAATTGCTGGTATGCATATAAAATGCATCAAAAAATCGCTATATGTAACAATGAGATCACCCATCCCAACCCTCTCCGCTGAGAACTATACAACCTCTTACAAATATTAGTGTTCCAAGTCTTAGTGTAACTGGATATTGTAGTGAGCCGCTTGGTCCCTTTCAATCCTTTTTCTCATTGCCAGGTTCAGTTGTTTGCTACTGTAAGAGGCAGTTTTCTGTCAGCATCTCAATGTGTAGTTCATTTCCCACTGAAACATGGGATAGGTAATTTATTTCCAGTAAGTCTGATTGTTTTCTTATATGCATTAAAAATGTTTTTAAAGTCTTCCTTTGACTTTTTTGATGACTGACTTCCCTTGTGAGTATTTACGTCAATAATACCAACAGTCTGAAGTCCCAGCTGGAGCTACTTATTTCTCACACGCCACGAGTCCCTCAGTTTTCACAGTTACAGGAAGGGCGATAGCTGAAGGCGCACTGACAACCACTACGTGGGTCACTGTCTTATTTCCATCTGTCGGTTTTTCTTCTACCAGCTGCAAAGTTTTCACATCATGTTCCTGCTTTTTTGCCACTACTTCAGATTTAACCTCTGGCCCTTTTATGACAGCACTGATAACTCGAGGAGGAGTCTGGCCTGACGCCTGCTGGGCAGGCACGGAGAGTCTCATGACAGGTGTGCCGTGAGCAATGGAAACGGGGGTAAGTGCTCTCACAGCCAGGGGGGTGCCCACAATGTTAATGCTTCCTGACCCAGTCAGGTTGGATTTTGTCTGCAGTTGACACTGCGCTAGCTGTGTGGCTGGGATGGTGATGATTTTGGCAGGCTGCATAGTGATTTTGTCTCCACTCTCAGCAGATGCTGGCATCACAGTAGGGATTGTCTGAATGACTACCTTTGGAGAGGTTGCTGTCGTTGGACTAGTGCTGGTTATTAATGGTGCACCTGCATTCACTGACTGAACTGCCACGGTTGAAATCTTCTGACCCAATGACGTCATTACAACAGGTACTTGCATTGCCACACGAACTGTCCTAGATTTAAAGAAAAAATTGATTATATATTTAGTGCTCAGAAAGTAAGTCTGAGTGAAAAAGGTAACTATAAATCTAAACTGTATAAAATTAGTACTGGTAAGCTCAGTAGTATAGGGTATGAAACAAACATTAAAAAACTAAAGCTCACAGTAAAGGTACACCTATAAAATGATGCGAATCCATCCAAGCTAGTTGAGACATCTACTTTACCAACAACCGAGAAAGTATAAACTACCAAGCACTTTGAAAAGTCCTTAAAACAATAGTGGGGTCTGAAAAGCCCAGCTAACAGAGCATGGAAGCATCACATTCTGCCCACGTCGCCTGTGGCCTGGCTGCTGGCTTGCCTCCCTTACCTTGGAGCAGCAGCTGCTGCTGCAGACGCCGTAGGAGGAGGAGACCTGGACGAAGCATCCTGACCAGGGGATGTGATACTCACAGCTCTGGCCACACCTTTGTCTACTCTGGAACAACTGATAGGAGACGAGGTTTTTCCACCACGAACAGAAGCTGCTGCTTTCAGGAGACTTTCCGCAGACAGCGACACTCGTTCCAACGACTTCTCATCAGCAGCTGCTGCTAACTCTTCATTACAGCTCTCACTTTTGTCATCATCGATGACCACTATGTTTTTGGGCATATCCTTGAACTGGTACACAAGCCTCTGACCTTCAACCTTTGCAAGAATTCCCCTTTGGTAGTAGTATCTGAAAAGGGGAAAAATTACTACATAAATCAAATGTATTATTCCCCCTTCCTCTGAAAAGACCACACAGAGCAGATCCTCACAGTAACGTTCCCTTATTCTGAAAAGGGATGAGAAGTAAGAGCCCCTACTGCTTAAACTGCTCCAAAGCTACAGATCTGAGGTAGACAGAAGTTGGAACATGGTGTCATGGGCCCTATCACCAAGAGCCCTAAAAAGTTGCAGAAAGTTCAATCAGTTTTTTAAAAGAAATAATTTAATCTGAACATAAAATATTTTATTGACAATGGTAAAATTCTATTCTGACTTATATAGGTTATAAAACATTTTGCTAATTACATGCCATAATTACATTAGCCACATTTAACACAGATGAAGCTTTGTGATGTACGAATACTGTCACATATCCAACCTGTTCATTAACAAACACTTGTATCATGTGTACTACAACAAAAATTTTAGAATCTCTCAAACAAAACTTATGAAAATTTTTTTGTCAAGCAGTATCTACGGAACTGGAGATTTAGCTCAGTGGCATAATTGCCTGCCTGACAAGCGTTTGATTCCTGGTACCAAAAGAAAAAGGAGAAGAAAAATCTAAAACAAATCAAGAACTGAAAAGCAAATTCATTTTGGAAGCTACTTCACTTGAGTTTAATTTCTTAAAAGACCTGTACCAAAAACTTCTATTAAAAAATAGTATTTTCTAGATATGGTGGTGCACACCTGTAATCCCAGGTTCTTGGGAAGCTGAGAGGATTGAGTTCAAGGCCAGTCAGAGCTACACAGCATGAGACCCTGTCTCAAAATAATTAGGGAGGGAGGGAGGAAAAGAAGGAAGGAAAAAAGAAATAGTTCTAGCAAGGCAGGGTAGTACATGTCCGTAATCCTAGCCACTTAGGCAGAGACTGGAGGCTCAAAAGTTCATGGTAAACCTGAGCAACTTACCTACAACAAGACCCTGCGTCTGAAAATTAGCAAAGGGAAAGAGAAAGGGTACAAGAACAGTCCTACTGGGCATAGCAGAGCACACCTGTAATCCCAGCACTTGAGGGGCTGAGGTAGGAAGATTGCCATACATTCAAAGCCATCCCAAACTACAAAAGCAAGATGCTGTCTCATAAGTAAGTAAATAAATAAATACACACAATACTCTTAGGTTCAAAAGCACCGTTTCTACAAAAATGGATATTCCAATGATGTTCAAATTGTAGGCATTCAAGATCATATCCTTTCTCATCTACTACCAAATTTAAGAAGCGCCTCCAAGGTTACAAGTTCTATTAAGAGATTCTGAACCTCTCTTGAAACAGCTAACAGTATAGAAAGACAATGTAGTTTGTTTGAATACCAGTTCGTATATATCCTTACCTCAGCGCACGTCCCATCGTTTCATAGTTCATGTCTGGCTTGTTCTTATGCTTTCCCCATAGCTTAGAGACGGCCTTTGAGTCCACAAGTTTAAATATACCCTTCTCTCTCTGAGTCCATTTAATATACCGAGGACAAGTATTCTTATCTTGAAGTAGATCTAAAAGAAACTCCCACAAATAGGTTGTATTTCCTTTAAAAACAAATCAAGACAATGACAAATTAATTTTAAATGTATTAATAATTAAAATCAAATATATTATCTTTTTAAATAACAATCTTTTTTTTCCCACAAGGAAAATAACAATCTTAAATATACTCTTGCTGGTTTTTAAAAAGTTTCTAGTTCTACACTATCCTACACACTGAGTTTAGTAAAAGGCAAAGGGCCAATGCTTGACCCAAATTTATGAATTTATAGAGTTCTGAATAAATTAAGCTTGCACCTATATTTACTGTAAGCCCAAATTCTGAATTAAAATTTATCAAAAAGTATTCAACTTCATTAAATAGGCTGACAATATATAGTGGAATGGGAGAAACTTTTGGACATCAACCTTAGGGTCTTTTTCTAAGAAGTCTATTATAACGTTATGCTCAATTGTCAATGAGTGGATTAAGACACTCCTGGAGGAAGTGACTGCATCACAGGGCGCTAGTTCAGCCATCCACCACTGAGGTCGGTCCACAGCTGACCTTGCTGAGAGGGCCAGTGAAGGTGGTTCTCTGGCAGCTCATTGGTAGAGGGTTCACTGCTGACTGCCACGGCCCTGTGCTGTCTCCCAGACTCCATGAACTGAGCAGGCAGCTCTGCCCACTCTGCCCTTCCATCCGGATGTTTCTGCCTTGAGCCCACAGACAGTGGACTGAAACCGTGAACAAAGACAGCTCTCTTCCCTGAAGTACAAATGTCGGGTATCATGGAAGCAACAGGGAAGTCGACTAAGACATATGCAGTGCTTTAATCTACCTAATAGGCATAAGATGCATGTCTTGTAAAGTACCATCCCTTTATCCTATCCTCAAATCTAGACCCAGGCTATATCAGAAGCTTCCAAACTGAAGTACTGCATCCCATTTCCTCTCATTGATGTTCTTTCCTCTGGCATTTCATGTCATTTTGTATTTCCCTTAGAATTTGAAATGTTCATTAATAACCCATAGCTGATTCCAAACACTGAAGTATCCTCATACGATTTTCCTCTAGACTACTAGTGTGTGTCAGCTATAAGGACTGAACCCAAGGTCTTCCCAGTGAGCTATACTCCCACCCCCAATCCCTTTCTGAGACAGTGTCACAGTCACGCAGGCTGGACTCAAACTTACAATTCTCCTACCCTGGTCCCCCAGATACAGGGATTAAGACATTCCATGCCACAATACCCCACCAGACTAAATAAAAGTTTCTGCTTCTAAAAACATGTTTTATGCATATGCATATTAAAAACTAGTTAAGATAGTTATACTACTTATTTCTGAGTTCCCTGAAGAAAAAAATATTTCTACTGGCATTGTTTCAACAATCGAATGCAGATGTCTTATACTGAGTGAATGATTTGGGGATGACAATGCACAATGTATGTACTACTGCCCCTGATTGATCTGTTTTGTTTGAAATTTTGGGTTTTTCTCTTTAAAAGATTTTGCCTGCAAGTTCCAGATCAGCCTGGGCTACAAAGTGAGCCCAAAACCAGCCTAAACTGCGTAGTGAAACCCTGTCTCAAAAAAGACAAAAAATAAAAAGGATTTGAAAAAATAAAAACAAAAACAGATGTTTAAAAATTTCTAATCCTGGCAAGCATAGTAATTTCTGGTACAAAAAAAAAAAAAAGCCAGAAATATGGCTCAGTGAGACAGCGCCTGCCTAGTAAGCACAAAGTGCTTGAGTTTGATTCTTGGTACCAAGAAAAATTAAAAATAAACATTTCTAATTTCCTTCTGATTAAATTTACATCAAAGATAATATAGTAAAATAATTTCATTATGTATGAACAACTCAGTTAAATATATTGGGTTTTTTTGTTTTGTCTTGTACCAGGGATCGAACTCACGACTATGAGCTTACAAGCCAGGCACTTATGCCGTTGAGCTAAATCCCCAGCCCCACATCGGTTTTTTTGGGAGGGGGTTACCACAAAGAATCCAACTATAACCTCTAAGCTATATCCCCAGCCCCTTAAATACATTTGTGCTTCAGTCCTAAAATACAAGTTCCTTATATGAAAACACTAAAAAGTAACAGGTCATTCCCTTAACTAGTTAAGTACAGTTTTGTTTGTATCAGGCATGGAACTCACAACCTCGCGCTTGCCAGGAAGGTACTTACACCTCTGAACTAAATCCCTGGCCCAAGTACAGTATCTTTCAAAGGTTAACTACAACACTGGCCCTGGATCTACTCTACTGTAATGTTTATTCATAACCCATGGCCGAGCCCCACATGCATTTCTGGACCTAACAAGACTGATCTTCAGCTTCGTAATACAGTATCACATATGTCAATCTCTGAAGCTCTATTGATTCAGCATTGCTACCTAAAGACTACTTAAGCCTATATATTCTTCAACTTCAAAGTATGGAGCTGGCAGCATTTTTATCTTTGTGAAAAACCAGGAGATTACCAGTATGAGTAGACATAGTAAAAGCAGAAATTTTATTCTGAAAGAAATTTTTGTAAAATACAGAAGATGCTTCCCACACAGCAACATTACTCAGGTTATCTTTTAACTATACCACTCAAGTTGCCACCCCTAGGATATTTTATTCTTTTTTCCCTCAGACAGGGTCTTGCTATGTAGAGCTCAGGCTGTCTTTGAACTTACTATGTAACCTGCTAGCCTCGAGAAATTTACAAGATCCTCAGTCCTCTGATCCTCCATGCCTTGGCCTCCCAAATGCTGGATTGCAGGTGTTCAACAACATGCCTAGCTCCTATCCCTAAGTTTATAAATTAACATTTCTACCTCTGGCTGTAAGGAAAAGGATTCTAAAAGAGAATCTTTTGTCAGGCAGGGTGTTTGGCTGTGAAAGACACTGTTGTCAACACTGTGCAAAACAGCAGGATTAAGAAGCCACATTTGACTGTAATAACTTTAATCTTTATACTGCAACATCTGCCTCAAATTTTAGATACAAACTTTTTAATAAGAACTGATGGCAGGTTTCAGTGGTAGTATATGATTTATTATGCAGGAGCCTGTAGCACCACTACCCCCCTCAAAATGATTTTAATTGGTAACAATAGGTCATGAGAAAATTTGTCTCTGGTGCAAAGCATCAAGTCTCTGAGTGAGTGATACTGTTAAGGCACAATTATAACTTAAGTACACATCTACAAAACAGCAAACTTAAAGGTATTCATAATAGAGAGCAATTAGAGGTCTCTGACCAAGTTACTGCTGCTGAATTCAACTGACCTTGATAGTGTGTAAAGCCCAGCTTCGAAGCATTGAGTCTGAGTAATTGTAATTGTTTATACCTTAAGGCACCCTGGACTAGTCAAAGATACCTTTAATTATGCCCACTCTGTAAAAGGCCCTTCCCCTCATTCCAGCATTCTTCTATATTATGAGAAACAATTCCTTTGTTTCAATAAATCTGTTCAAGACTATCTACCTGTCAATATGTGATTCAATTTATGTAGCCAATTTTATCTCTTGTTTTGGACTTCTCACTTCTATATGTAGTATAAACTAAGCTCTTTGTAAAGACAACGTGTTGCCTTTGGGAATGATCCCGCAACAGTCTGCTGGTGTAAAGATTTAACCAGTGCCTTGGTGGCTTTTTATCTTCTCCACTGGAAGTCTTCCTTTCAGTATGACTTAGAAATTTTCCCTCAACATTTCCCGTAGTAAGATTTTGAAAACAGGGCCTGGGGTTTAGCTCAGTTGCCTAAGTGCCTGCTGGCAAGTGCAAGATTTTGAGTTCAATCCCTGGTACCAAAAACAATAAAACAAAACAAAACAAAAAAGATTTTGCAAACAATCATAGTTGTACATTTACAGGTCAACAGTTATTTACTACTATATAACATTTTTAAGTGTTTGGTATAAATTAAAACACTTAAAATGTTAGAAATGTGAAATGACCAAAGACAGACAAGGAAAATAAAAATCCAAAATCTGTCCCACACTCAATCTTTTTCCAAGTATTCTGAAATGTATGTGGATGATAGGAGAGAGCTTGTCCAATACCAAGTTTTATTACAGACTTACCAGATTTAGCTTTTTGTGTCTGTTTTCAGCCTACCTTCAATTCCTGTATTGCTCCTAACTAGTTAAGAAACTGTATCGTATCAGGCACAATTCTTAGGGGTAAGCCTGATTTGTAACTCTGTTGGGCAATGACTGTTATGTACATATACACAATTCCCTAAAGATGTGCATCTGTGTGCTCAAAGCAATGTTAGCCAATGGAAATGTCTGTTCCCCACTCCCCAGGATTCAGTTACAGCTGTAGAACTGCCATTGGGTAGGACTGGGCAGATATTTTGATAAAACTCCTTAGGAAATGCTGAATTAAGAAATGCTATCAGAGACAGTATTTCCATATAATTTTTCTACAAATGCAAAAATGTCACCTGACTGGGGGGAGGAAAAGTCTCATTTCAAAATAAAACAAAACCCTCCCCAAATTACCTTTTCCTTCTCTGGGTTTCTTCTTGATACCTAACTCAGGAGACCCATTGGAAATTGGTGACTGCTGGGTCTTTGGTTTACGGCCAACTGAAAAAATAAAATATTGAAACTATGTATTGAAAACAGGAAAATAATAAGACACTTGATTAGCAGAATTTCTAATATTATTCATTAAGCTACACATAATGGATTATGTGGATTAAAATGAAAAATTAATTTTAAAAACACTTCTGCAGTTTTTGAAAAAGCAATGAGTATAATTTAAAAAGAAAAAAAAAAAAAAAGACTGAGTCTTGCGCTATAGTTTAAACTGGCCATGAATTCACTATGTAGTCCTTTGATCCTCCTGCCTCAGCCTCCTGACTGCCAGGATTACAGGTGTGAGCCACCACACTCAATTTAATAATTTTAATGTATTATTAATCCTCACTTGCTAATCTTTTACAGTGATACAGCAATAGAAACAAGTTCTTTTTTTAAAACAATTTCTGTACAAACATCTTTGTTTTCTGTTGTACAAAATTGTTAGAAACAGCTTTACCTAATTGTTGCAAAAGATCTGACAATCTGTGAAGCACTTTGAGCTCAAATGAAGTTAAAAAATATTAACACTCTACTGTTCTAAGCCAGTTTACCAGAATTTAAGCAAAAATATTTAAACAGCTAAACTTCTACATTCAAATACATTTGACTGTCAAAAAACTATTTCCAAGTAATTATTTTCTACATCTGGTGTTTGTGCCATCTGCTTCATTTCTCCTAGTTTTTGCCATCTGATTCTCCAGCAGATTTGCACCCAAAAACAACTTCCAGAAAGGCAGAGATGGGGCTGGGGATTTAGCTAAGCGGCATAAGCGCCTGCCTTGCAAGCAGGCAGTCGTAAGTTCGATCCCCAGTACCAATAAAAAGGAAAAAGACCAAAAAAAAAAAAAAAAACCCAGAAAGGCAGAGATTCTGCTTGCTCCCGGAGGGCATGAGTCTGAAACGGGTTAGAGCCTCTGCAGGGAGGATGAATGGGGCCTTAAAGGGGAACCCTGAAGAAAGATGAGGAACACTGCAAGAACGTCACACATCTGGGATTTCTGATGTCGTTCTCATCTTCAGTAGCAAGATTACCTAGATTAACCACGTAAACACCTAAATTCCAAGGTCTTAATTTTTATGACAAAATGCATAAACTTTAGGCTAGGACTTCATTTCTGGTAATTCTAATTAGTACATCTCTTTGACACAATTTACAACATCCAGTTCACTGCTCTTGTTAGAATGGAGCTTTCTCCATATAAGAACGCGTGAGTAACAAAAGTATCTTCTCCATCTCTAAACACAAAATCCCAATGCTTTAAAAAAAAGTTCAGCTGTGCATGGTGGCATAACCTATAGTTTAGCTGCTAGGAGATAGGCAGAAAGGTTGCTTGAGTCCAAGAGTTTGAGACCAGCTGGGCAACTGGCTCAAAAAGGATCAAGTTATTTTCTTAGTAGCATTTTAAATACTGTTCCTGGAGAAATTAATAGTGCATTTCTTGGTAGAAAACAGGTCTATAGTCAAATTAATGTTTAAAACACTACATGCTACTATCTCTTGAAGATCACAGTCCATATTAGTATATTAAAAGCTCTGGAAATAAGTTTCACCTATTAAAAATTAACCTAGCTGGGCATGTGGTCCACACATGTGATCCCAGCACTTGGTAGGCTGAGGCAGGAGGATCACCCTGAGTTCAAGGCTAGCTGGGGCTAAACATTGAGTTTAAGAGCAGCCTGAATTACAGCAAGGCCCTGTCTCAAAAATAAAAAGGGGCCAGGGATACTGGCACAGTACCTGCTTGGCAGGAGTAAGGTTCTGAGTTCAATTTCTGACACCCACACAAACAGAAATTGAACTCAGAACCTAACTTTTTTTGGGGGGCGGGGGGGGGGGGGGGGGACGGGACTGGGGATCAAACTCACGTCCTTATGCTTGCCTGACAGGTGCTTATGCCACTGAGCTAAATCCCCAGTCCCAAACCTAACCTACTGGCAGTGTACACTTGGGAGACTGAGACAGGAGAATTGCCACGAGTTTGAGGCCAGCCTAGGTTACGTATCAAGTTCAAAGCCAGTCTCAACTACACAGAAAGCCCCTGCCTCAAAACAAAAATAATTATGGGATTTCTATGTTGTATTAATTTTTGAATGGTAAAAGGGTTTTTTGTTTTTGAGAGACAAAGTATCCTTATATAGTCCAAATGGACTTGAACTTACTGTGTAGCCAGGGTGACCTCAAACTCCCAACAATCCTCTTTGCCTCAGCCTCTGAGTGCTGGGATTATAGGACATGCAGTGATTTATGTCATATCACATCCTAGTTCTCAAATGGTTTCTTCTTTTCATTGTCTTTCATCTTTTTGTTTTTGGATAGATGCAACTAGTCAAAAGCTTTAGTGGGTATTAAGGCCATTTATATGTGTGCCTTTTGTTTTTTATTATACACAGCAGAAACTAGTTCACCATCTCATCTATCATTCACTTTTCTCTCTACACATGTGTTACACGGGGACTGAACCTCAGGCCTCCGGCATGGTAAGCAGGCATCTACAAATAAGCTACATTCCAGCTCATGGCTCTCTGTCACAATCTTATCTCTCTCACAGCATTAAACGCATGGCAGCAAGTCAAACATTTAATGAATAAAACAAAATATCATTGTTTCCAGCACAATCTTCTCTTTTTTTCCCTTTAAAAGGTAAAGTGGGCTAACTGTAGCTCAGGGGCAGAGCACTTGCCTTGTATGAATGAGGCCCTACTTTGATTCCCCAGCACTAGAAAGAGAAAAATAAAATTAAATTGCATGTAATTTCAATGTACCTATTAAGGTCTACCTTGTAGCCCAGCCTTAGGTTCAAATAAATACACACAAAATATAAAGAAAGAGCTATGGAAGAAAGTACTATAGTCAGATGGTCTGGCCGTTGATCTGCACAGGAAATGATGCATTGTACTACGTATACTCTCCTGACAGTGGCTCTGTGCTGGATCTCTGGGCTTCACTGCTGGGACCAGCAGAGCTTGAAAGGGGCAATGCTCTTTACCCACTGGGGAAATCTGTACTGGCATTCTTTGTATTTTAGAACAAAAAGTACATGCAAGAAAAATAAAACCATGAAAAATGGAGAAAATAAATTACCTTGCTAATATAACCAAGTATATAATAGGCTCATAAATTAGAAAAATGATAAGACAAACACACAGCAGACTGTTAACATTCCCTTTTTTTTTTTTTTTGGTGCCAGGGATCAAACTCATGACCTTGCGACTGCCAAGCAGGCACTTACAGCACTGGGATAAACTCCATCTTCTTTTTTCCAGCACTGTTAAAAACTTACTTTCCAGCAAATATCACTAAGGTTTAAATACCAACTCCTTCCTGGCTGGGGATGCAGCTCAGTGGTAGAGCACTTTCAATCCCCAGCACTATGGAAAAAAAAAATCTGTAACATGTTACTTTCTATGTCCCTTAATGGGAAAAAAGATACCAGGAAAAATCCACTTCTCTCAGACACATGTAGATGTACTGTACCTTTTTTCTTTTTCACTGGTTCATGGCTCTCTGGTGACGTAGGAATAGGAGAGGTAACCATGGGTTCCGGCTCTTCTGTTGATACCTCCACTACAGTTTCTGTAATGACATCCGGCCTCATAGCAGCATGGATAAACTCTGGAGTTGATACACAAGGAGGGACAAACACTTCCACTATAAAAAAAAGTTGAAAAATTAAAATTTCCCATCCCAATCAATATTCATCGTATGGACAGTTTAATAGGTAGACATTCTTACCAAAAATTACTCAAAGCAAGATTAAAACTTAATACCAAAGAAATTAATTTGCTGAGTATTCAATGTGATCTAAAGAATACTAAAGAAAATAACAAAAATCACCTGGAGGGTATGCATGGTCACCTCCACATTTTAAAGAACTGAGTTTCTTTCATAGTTAGGGAAACACTGGAAATAATAGTATAACAGTTATGTAATGCTTTTAATTTCCTTCCAGAATTCTTGTTTTGGGGAAGAGCCAGGCTATGGATTGAAGCCCCAAGGGCCTCGTGTGCTAGGTTAGTACTCTACCACTGAGCTACACCTCAGCACTTTTTATTTTGAGGCATGGTTAGAGCTGCCAAGGCTGGCTTCAAATTTGCAGGATTTTTTGAAGTAAGGTTTTACATTCATTAGATGTACGAAAAGAAAAGAAATATTCTCTGCAGGGCCAGTGTGAGCCAATTAAAGGTAGGGAAAGGAGTATACTCTGCAGAGCGAGAGCAGGCCGCTATGAAAGACAGCACAGTGGCCATATGTGCAGCATTTCTGTCTTGGCCTCCAGAGGCGCTGAGATTACAAGCGTCCACCACTACACCTGGCTCAGTATCATCTTTCAATACTTAATACTTTGTTTAATGGAACCACTCTAATACCACAGCTCACTGAAACAGGGCACACAGACTACTATCCAATATTCTGGCTTCCTTCAGCTATGCATCAATATTCAGGATATGACACTTCTATTTCAAATTGGAACTAGTTAATATAGTCTCTTGTGGATTAATACAGTAATCCCTTATGCCATAATTTTCCTCTCATATTCCTGATTAAACATGAAGCTCCTATTCCAATTAAAATACAGAACTGTCTTAGCATTTATCATAAATTTCCGTAAAAGGATCAATCAAGTCAGATTATTATCTGGACATTAAATTACAATTATGATTAAGTAAAATTAGTAGAAAATTAATATATAAGTCAGTTTAAAAGGAAAAAAATGGATCATAAGAAAACAGCAACTCTCAGGCTGATAGGACGGTGCAACTAGCCTCCTCTCTCCGCCATGGACGATTCCCTGGAAATACTGCCTGTTTACCACTACATAAAAGATCCAAAGTGGCCCCTATATGCTGTGCTCCTAAAGATCACAGAGGCTGGCAGTTTACCCAGAATTAAAGAAACAGATATAATAAGTAGCTGTTCTATAAAAGATTTTTATGCTTGTGAGGATATGCTTTATATTTACTTACAATGAAGTGATTCGTGAATCTTAAAAAAAGATCATTTATTACTGAGAGATATTCATGAATAATAGACCTCTGAAAGCTCCCATAATACCACAGAAAACTGCATTTAAAGGTCTCTAACACAAAGTAACAGACATGTTTAGTACAAAAACATACCAGGACTTCTTGAATCCCTCAAGCAGGTAGGAGACTCCATATGAAGCAGGGCTTCAGCAGCTTCAATTGTCTTATCAGTACAGTGTGCATTACTGCTGTGAACTGATGCTTCCACTGGGGAGAAAATAAATACTCAATTAAAAAATGAGCCAATCGCATTACTCAACATAAACACATTCTAAGAAATAAATTTTCATGTGAATACATAAATCACTGATACATTAGTCTGCACCCATGATAGAAATTTAAAAACCAAAATAAGCCAGTATCTACATTTTATGAAATATTTATTTAAAAGAAACCAATCAGATTAGAAATTAATGAGAATTTTCCAGATCTTCTCCAAATGAAAACAGAGGCTTATTTATTTATTTATTTATTAAAGACAAGGCTTTCACTATGTAGAGGCAAGGCCAATCTCAAACTGCTGATCTTCTCTTCAGTCTCCCAAGTGCTGGGATAATAGGCACGTGCTACCACCACCCAGCAAAGAAAGACCCTTGAAATCTGAACTCCCCATCAAAACTAATGGGTGTTAAGTATGTTTGAAGATCACTGTAAGGTCAATTGTGCATTATGACAATAAACACAACCTGCAACCAAAACAGAAATAACTACATATCTAGAGGAATCAATCAAAAACACTGCTTTCTAATTTAATTTAGGGCGAGGATATAGCTAAGTGGTACAGCACCTGCCTGGCTACTGTGAGTTCCCAAGTTCAACTCTGGTACCAAAAGAAGAGGAAAAAAAAAACCTAACTAGTTTAATTTAATGAGGTAGTTCAATTTTTAGAAACTGCCCCAGCTGAGCAAAAAAATAATCTCTAGGCAAAGCTACCTGCAGATGGACAAGAACCAACACTCACTTTAGCACCACGACTCAGCAACTTGCTTCATCATAACCTTATTCTTTTCTTCAAAACCTCTCTGGAGATTCCTGGCTTTTACCAGACAAAATTTTTAGTGCCCCCCCCACTTTGCCCCCATGAAGCTTTTTAATTCCACCAACCTTTGCACCTCTCTTCTATACTTCCTTTATGCTCTGCTATTAAGTTACTTGTGCAAACAGTAAAGTGTACAAGCAGTGGTTTGGGCTTTCAGGTCCAGCAACTTGGGATCTAGTCTGCCACTCAGGCAAGCAATTTAATCTCTAAAAGTCTGTTTCCTCTTTCCCAATACAGGACTACTACTTACCTCAAACAGTTAAATGAAGGGGCCAGGGATTTAGCTCAAAAGTGTAATAGCTGCCTGGCAAGCATGAGGTCAAGAGTTTGATCCTCGGTACCAAAAACAAAAACAAAACAAAACAAAAACCAAACAGTTAAATGAAATGATTCCTATTTTTTAAAAAAAGTCACTCCTTTTTTAGGGGGAGTGGGGTGGGAGGGCACACCAGGGATCGAACTCAGGACACCTTGCACTTGCCAGACAGGCACTTTGCCACTGGCCTATATCCCCAGCCCTGTCTCCACATTTTAAAAAGTGTAATGATGATCTCCTGTTGCTCCGCAAGCTTCTACGTTCTTCAAGGTCAAAGGGGCTACCTTAATCCAACTTCATAGCCACTACACTTCCTAATACAGACTTTCCATATAGCTCATACAAAAATTTCTTTTACGTGAATTAAGGTCAAGCCAGTCACTCTGTAAGAAAACTGACACATCAGGCACAAACTCACTACTGTAATGGTATATTAATTACCTTTCAGATTTTACATACTGAAAATTTACATGGTAACAAGTTGTGAAATATTAATACGTGAGTTTCTAACTTGATTTTTCTCAAGATGTCCTTCATGGAACTAAAAGCAAATGTTTATATAAATTTCATAAAATCATATTACAAATTTACAAGCTTCACATACTTAAGATAGAAACATTTTAAAACTGTTTCAGGACTTTTAATTAGGAAAAATTCACTTGGCCTTAAAAATTCACCAAATGCTATAAAGTCTCAGCCTTAAACACCAGTCATTTGGAGAATGCTTGTTTAAAACATCCAGGGACTGTTTTACCACCTGTTGCACATCATCCACACTCTCAACCAAGGTACTAGGTCTCTCCAGTTGCTCTTTCCATTTATGGCAATCTGCTCAAAGCTAAATGGTTCCAGAGAGGCAGCCAAACCTCCAAGTAAATCTATCTTTAGGTGACCCTGCTTACTCTTATCTGCAGCTTCACTGAAGCAAAGGATTCAGCCAGCATTTCTAGCTCAACTTTATTATGTTAAGTATAAAATATACTACTATTCTTAAGCAGTTTTTCCAAAGTGCCTCACTACAATGCTCACATACACTAATGGAAAGCAAAATCTCAGGTTTTTAAAATTTAATCTAGGAACCATCATCTTTAAATTCAGCTTGGTGTTGCAATTTAGTTGTTGTCTTAAGTGCTATTAATAAACCATCCTGAGTAAATTAATTCCTTATGTAATTGTATTAAGACACTACCGTATTACAGTCAGAGCTTCAAGTGTTTGATAATTATAGTTAGAATTTTATTAGATTTTAACATGCTTAGGTTATACGCAAGATGCAATTTGCCAAAGGGTTACATATTGTGCACCCTACATTCTTAGGTAGTTTGAAGTACATTTTCAAAACCATGAACTTCATTTACAGTTGGTCATGTTTGTAAAATTCCCTCCACCCTCCCTTGATACTGGGGACTGAATCCAGGACCTCATGAATGATAGCCCTCTACCACTGAGCACATTCAAGACCTTTGTTTGTTTTCAAGACAGGGTCTAGCTAAAGAGCCCACTGCCTTAAACGTGCCTCAGATCTCCAAGTAGCTGGGATTACAAACTAGAGTTACACGTGTACACCAGTATGCACAGCTTGACTTCCACCTTTTTTGATAACTGCGACTTTCACTTGTCATTTTCATCTACCAACTCAAAGATTAATACACATGCAAAAAACTAACCTCTCAAATCAATTTACAATAACATTTCCAATACATTACTCATATTATAAAAATGTTGACATAAGCGAATAATCTTTCATTTTTGGAGACAGGGTCTCACTTTATAGCCCCAGCCTGGCTCAAACTTACAATCTTCATGCTTTGGCCTTCTGAGTGCTTGAACTATAAGCATGTACCTCCATGCCAGCTCACAAGAAATTTTTGCTAAAAGCAATTCAAAATATACCTCTCCTAGTCAAGTTTCAGCTACTTAAAAATGTTTTCGATACTATTTTTTCAGATCAATAATTCAAATAATTTCAAACTGTACAATTCTAAATTATAAACATGAATTTAACACTGGTATACAATCAAAGTAAGCAAACTAGCAACAGTTAAAAAAATAATGTTCCTTATCTTATTTAAATTTGACTGACTTGCCCAGCATTATATGGCATTTTATGAGACAAAAAATTACTGTTTCTAAAAGTAGAAACAGTAAAGTTAAAATAATTGGATAGGTATCATTTTCTAGTAGTTATTTCTGCTCAATCCTCACACTATATGCCATTACAAGGTATTACAAAGATTACTATAGCTATAGTGCTTTGTGTGCCTTCCCTTCACTATTGGTAAAAATACTCTTGTTTCCACTTCTATTTTTCTAATCAACTGGTGTTTGTATGGTAGAGTATTCCAGACTCACTCAACAGCTGTTAGAAAATACCAAACTTGGTAATTAACTCTGACAAGAGGCATACCTCTCAGCTTTGCATGAGAGAATGCTGGCAATGGATGCAGTACATAACAATGTTCTCAGAGTCAAAAATAAAATTTAGTAGCAATTTAGTTCGAGAGCAATGGGAAAAAAATAAGAAGACATTTCATTAAGTAATAGTCCCCTACAACCCAAACCTCAAAGTAATATAAAAAGTCTTCTTTCATTCTACTACTACACTGATTTACCAAGGCTTATCTCCTAAGGCCCCCAGACTTTAACACAAATACAGTAAAGAAAGGAAGAAGACAGGTCTGGGATATTCCACTTTTATCTTGTTTCTCTTGACCTGCTAACAATATAGTGGCCACCACAATGTGTAACAGGAAAAAAGAGAGAGAAAGAAAGAACATTCTCTAACCAGAGGTGTCCAATAAAATAAAAGTCACATATACCTTTTTACAGCACTGAGAATTGAAACCAGGGCCTTTATACTAAACAAACCATATTCTCCGTCCCTTTTTCTTAATTTTTTATTTTTATTAGTATGTTTACAGTACATAATTAATTACATTCTGTAGGAAATGGTACATACAACACAATCTCAATTTTTTGTCCTCTTTTCCTTATGCCCACCTTTAAATTTTTTCTTTTGCCAGCATCAGATTTTGTAAGTCTTTTGTTTGTTTGTTTTTGTTACTGAAGATCAAACACACAACCTTGCGCTTGCCAGGCAGGCACTTTGTGCTGCTGAGCTATGTCCCTGGCCTATTTTGTAAGTTTTTATCAAGTTCCCAACCCATTTTTTATTTTGAGACAGGTCTTGCTAAATGGCCCAGGCTGGGCTAGCACTTGCAATCCTCTTGTCCCAGCTTCTCAAGAATGCCAAGATTATATGTACAACTACACCTGACTTAAGCCACTTTAAATGTAATTTAAAATTTTTCAGTAACCACATTTTGAAATGCACAAAGAATGTGACATGAATATCCTTCATTTAACCCAGTATATCCGAAACACTGCCATTTAACATGTATACAATATATAGGTTTTAAATTCAGTTGCTACACCACATTTCAAGTACTCAATAATCACTTGTGTAAGTGGCTGCCATACTGAACTGTGAACTACAACTATTTGGATTTCAGCTATTCTTATTTTTGGATGGAGGACTCTTTTATACTCAAATTACTCAGGACCTCAAGATTTTGATGTTACTTATTATTATAATTTTTCATTAATTCATTTAAAATACTTACACTGTTTTTATGAAAAATAGAACACAAAACCTGAGTAACTTTTTTTTCTCACATTTTTGCAACTAGGCAGGCAGGGGATGGGTAATGCAGTGCTAGTGATCAAAACCAGGGTCTTGTACATACTAAGCAGGAACTCTACCCCTGAGCTACATCCCCAAGTCCTGCAAACCTTTTAATAACACTGGATTTAATAGAAAGCAGATGGATTTATCCATCTGCTTTTTCAATG